ACAGTCCTCAAATGGGAGGGTTAGCTGCTAAATAAGCGGAGAACCCGAGGAATAAGCATTTGCGTACAACGTGACGACAGTGCTACGACGGTGCCGCGAGCCATTTGGCAAACTTGGCTCTAGAAAATACCGCATGACCCCATGAGAACGCAGTGACATGACGAGTAAATGCCGCCATCAAATAAGCATGCTGCTAACTCCATCGAGCCGCAACTGGTTCCCAGCTCGATTGAGAAAGACAGATTGGCGTCAGGCAGGCAGCCGGACTTAAAAACCAATGCCAAGGCCAAATATGATGAGTCAACTTGCCTCTAGAAATAACTGTAAGGCATTGCCAACAGGCGACGCGAAGCAGCAAATCCCAACGGCTGTGAGAAATGAACAAGGATATAAATTTTTGCAACGACCGCAACCGCAAGAAGATGCAAATAGTCACTTGGAACATTGGAAAGGGCATGCAGCTAGCGGAAACTTTTCAGAGAAGAAAAGTTCAGATCGTTTGCTTTCAGGAGACGAAATGGAAAGGTGAGAAATCGAATGAGATTAGCCTTGGCTATAAACTTATTTACTGTGGAACAACAGGCAGAAGATGTAGAATTGAAGTGATATCGAATGAGGCGACAAAAAACAAGCACTTTGAAGTCAATCGAATTAACGACAGAATCATGGGCTTTATATTTTTGAGCCGTTTCGTCAAGGAAATGTTCGACAGTTCATCCGGGTACCCTGAAGTGAGCTAGCGTGTCCCCAACCTTCACCCAGCCCAAGAGATTCAGAGCAGAGGGAAACTTTGCGACGTCTTGGTCGAGAAAAGATATCATTTACTAGTGACAGGCAGCATCACCACTTCAATCTACCAGAACGCACTCCCTAACTACTTCCAGGCCGTCACGAAACAGGCGCGATCGCTGATCATCATGCCAAAATAGAAACTTTCCGTCTCTGTGTCTTAAATTTATCGAAAACAACAGGTTTGCCAATAAGCGTACAAATATGGAGATAATTTTTGCGTACATGCTCAATTATTTTTAAGCTTGTTCACCACGAATGTATCTGTTATATCGTCATATGTATAATATATATCTTGCATATTTATAATCATATTTTTGTCTCACTTTTTCATATATAGTGTATTATATATCTTATAGACTACTTTTCTTGCTTAGAACAATCAAATTTCTCTGATCGAACGACTCACCTTGACAAATTTCTGGCAAGTTTCATAAATTCTATCTTCATGCCGTCTATCCGATGAAGAGAAAACGAGAAGTAGTGGAAATATTGCGTACAAAACAAAACTAGAAGCAAGCAAGAGAAAAAAATCTTTAGCACATGTTATGAAGTCGTCCAGGCGTCCCGAAACTTCCCAGCTGCTAGAACTGTAGCGTTTGCTACAGTAACGCGCAGGTACACGGATGCACGAGAATTTTATTTAATATGGAAGGTTACCACTATATACGAAAGCACCAATGGCTCTTCCCCCAGATGCCACGTTCAATTGTTTCCAGCAGCAATGGTAAGTTGTATGGTTTTGATGATGCGGAAGATCTCGGCTGTTTCACTTAAATTCCTGGTAGTCGTAACAGCGATGAATCTTATCATTTATTTCTAGGTCTGCTTGAATGGAGGATGACATATGAACTTGTCACAACCATTGAATTTTACCGTTCTTCTGCTGAGGCTACATTTGTTTGACAATTGCTGCCGCCACTTACTAATGTATATTCACTATGAAAATGAAGACCTTCTCAGTCGTCAGAATGGATCATCAAATTAGTGTCAAATCTTCGGGTGTCAGAGAACATTATGTGAGTTTTAATGAGTTCTCTTCAGAATGACCACGACCTCCAATCAAACGGCTGAAATTGTTTGTGGAATATTCTTCGCCCAAAACAAATGCATCACCGGATTCTCTGTCTCGGATCAAATCATTTTAAGGTTCATGACAAGCTAGTTGGTGTAGAATACCAAAAGAAAGCCCATCGTTATTTTTCCATTGCCTTCTATAAATTGGGCATTCTCCATTTTAATCACATGTGGTAAACTTTTTTAAGAAGTACTTCAAATTTGTCGTCAGCAGGGCCAACTTCGTTGAAAGAACAAAACTTTGTAAAATATGTATAAACAGCTGTGGATGAAAGGTCTCTACGGAGCAGTGGATCGAGGAAGGCTGATTATAATGACAAAATGTGCGTGGATTGGGAACAAAGGGACCCATAATGACTTCTCTCCTGGATTACGAGATATAGTTCTAAAAATAGCACGCGCAATACGCGCAGCTAATTCATAGAAGGAAATGTTCACACGCGAGACTGTGTCTTGTTGTTAATAAAATATTTTCATTCAACATCCCTACTTGCCATCGATTGGTCTAATGTTTCCGTCACTTAGGTTAATTCCGGAAATGAAGCGAATCCGGATGACCGCTGCGTATCATTTGAATAAACCAAAGGTCGACATATAATTTTATGAATCAATCATCCGCTTTCTCAATATTCAAAACGATGAATACATCGAGAATGGCATAGCTACTCTCGCTAATTCGACTCATCTCGGTCAAAGCAGTCGAACACGAGTCAGTTCAGCTTTTTTGGGACGGCAGTTCCATTTGTGTTCTTTTATTTAGAAACCGTGAACTGACCGTAGACGCGTTGGAGCAAAATGGAAAATGTGAAGGCAGACCCGCCTGCGAAGAGGAATACGACTTTTCTGTAACAGTGAAGGCTGTCTACTATCAAAATGGAGAACAATTTCTAAACGGTGAGACATCATACATCTGATTTACTCTGCTGCTGAAGTTCTGTTAGAATCGGATGACGGTAGCGAAATATCAACAATCTAATTTTGAGTCAAAGTCGTGAAACAAAATAAGTTCTCCTCTCTTTGCTCTTGTATCGATCCATAATCTTTGTCATCGTGTTTATGTCTGAGAAAAAGCAATGTCAATGCAAATTTAAGGAAGTTGGATTGCGCTCATGGTAGTTTTTCAGCCATTTTCTACCTCCCGCAACATACCTATCGTTTGATGCTGCACCATTTTTCCGAGGAAAAATTTCTTTCTTTTGTCTAAACTGCGGATAGAGCCTAAGACTTAGCAAAACTGAAGGAAGGCGGGATTTTTTGATGAATTTTCCAAATCAAACGCACAGTATACCTTCTTTCCTGACGTCACCGGTAATCGCAAAGCAACGTGCCAAAAAATTCCCACCAGCATCAGAGACCGTAGTAGATACACAGGCCTCATTCTAGCGATAAGGTACAGTTCAAGATATTCAGTAAGATATCACACTGACCTGATATACGCAGATAACATCATTGTGATGAGTAATACGTGGAGCAGGCTCAATAATATGATGTTCCGTAAGTAATACAGCTGGAAATACTGGCCTCTTCCTTAACGCCCTAAGTCCAACTTTATGGG